CTTGCTGCAAGAGACACATAGCATCCTAGAGGATGAGAAGTACTGGGTTTCTAAGTGGGGATGTGACATCATTTTTTCTCATGGCAGTAGTGATTCTCGTGGGGTAGCCATATTAATTAACAGAAAAGGCATTACTGTACTTGATAAGCAGACTGATGATGATGGGAGGTTCATACATGCATCATTAGATATTAAGGGGGATAAACAGCAGTTGTTCAATATTCATGCTCCGAATATTGCTAGAGATAGAGAGGTTTTCTTTAGTGAAATCGATGAATATATCAACAGTCTCACGGTACAAAATGATATAAATATTGGTGGGGATTTTAATACTGTCATTCAACCTTCTGTTGATAGATGAGGTATTTCGTGCCGCATAAGTATAATGCTCCAGAATGTCATAAATAACCATAACCTTGTAGATATTTGGAGGAGATTACACTTTGACAAAAAAATCTTACACATGGAGAGGTAACAATCATACACAATCCAGGATAGATTTTTGGCTGATTTCGGAACATCTGTCGAAAAAGGTTAAGAGCTGCAGTATATGTCCCAGTATTCGCAGCGACCACAAAATTGTAATGTTGGAATACAGCAGCGATAAATTAATGAAACCAAATTTTTGGAAATTTAATAATTCACTTCTAGATCTAGAGGATAAGGTATATGTACATAAAATAAAAGACTTTTTGCAAAATGTCAAACCAGAAACTGTAGAACAAAGTATGCAGTGGGACTGGATCAAGTTCAATATTATGACACTTACTATTGATTATGCTAAGAATAAGCAACAACGTCAAAACCAAAGAGAAAGAGAGATATTTAAAAAAATAGCAATACTAGGTAATCAGTTACTAGATGTTAATGATAACAATCTCCTACAAGAATATGAAAATTGTAAGCAAGAATTAGAGTGTATTTATGAACGAAAAGCGGCGTGTGCCTTTATAAGATCACGTGCTAAATGGGCAGTAAAGGGAGAAAGAAGCAATACATATTTTTATAATTTGGAAAGAGAGAGACAAAACAAGAAAGATATTAAAGAATTAGTTAATTCAAATAGTCAAAGGATTGAAAATAAAAAACAAATACTTACAGAAATTAAGAATTATTATTCAACATTATATTCAAACAAGACTGATAAGACATGCGAAGAAATTTTGACATATTATAATCAGAATGTTCCTCAGATTGATGATTTGGATAGAAATAGATCTATGGCAGATATTGATGAAGATGAATTGTTTACTGCCTTGAAACAGATGAAACCAAACAAGACTCCAGGATGTGATGGTTTAACAAGTGAATTTTTCAAATGTTTTTGGCCAGAATTTAAAACATTATTTTAAGCATCACTAAATTGTTCTATTAATGAAAATAAATTAAGCATATCACAAAGAAGAGGCATTATTACATTAATTGAAAAACCCGGTAAAGGATTGAAAGCTATTAAAGAATTGGCGCCCAATTACATTACTTAATGTTGACTACAAAGTTCTGGCAAACAGAATTAAGACTATACTTGAAGGGATTATTCATGAATCTCAAACTGGTTTTATAAAAGGGTGAAGTATTCATGCAAACATAAGGTTATTACTTGACATTATCGAAATATATGAAGAAGAAGGTTATGTTCTATTTTTGGATTTTGAAAAAGCCTTTGATTCGGTCGAATTTAATTTCATAGATGCAGCTCTAAAGAAATTTGGTTTTCCAGATGAATTTATAAATTTAGTGAATTTGTGTTATACTGATATTTCATCATGTGTATTAAATGGTGGTCAGACAACAGGTTGGTTTGGAAACCTCAGGGGTACCAGACAGGGATGTCCCCTAAGTCCTTATATCTTTGTAATCTGTGCAGAGTTAATAAATACAAAGTTTCGAAAAGATCAAAACATTAATGGCCTAATATTTGGAGAAAAAGAAATAAAAGGAATATATTATGCAGATGATTCGGCTCCCATTCTGAGAGATACAAAATCGGTCAAGAAAACCCTGGAATTTTATTTAAATCAAGGTGCCTCCAGCGGCTTAAAACTGAATTTAGATAAATCAGTCGTAATGTCACTTAGAAAAGTCAATTTTATTCCTCCTTTTGGCGTAAAGAAAATTTCTAGATATAAATTTCTTGGCATAATGATAGATGTAAATGATACGGTGTGTCACGAGGAAAATATTGAAAGACCTTTAGAAAATATTTAAAGACGTTATACAATCTTGAAAAGTAGAAATTTAACAATAAATATACGTTGTCTTTTAAGCAAATCTGAAGGAATTTCTAGGTAAGTCCATCAAGCAAGTTGTATTTCCTTTTCACCAAAAATAATCAAAATAATCAATAGAGAACTGTTTACCTTTATTTGGAACAGCAAGTCAGAAAAATTATCAAGAAATCGGTTAATCCAAAAACAAGAAGAAGGTAGCATTAATGCTCTAGATTTTGGTACCTTTAACGCAGCGTTAAAACTAGTTTGGCTCGCCAAGTATTTCTCTAAGAAGATCTGGACAGTTCCTATTGCACATTATTTTAAAAGCATTGGTTCGCTTGAATTCTTACTTAACTGTAACTTCCAAGTGTCCAAATTAAAATAAAAAATCCCATTATTCTATAAAGAAATTTTATCCTTGTGGAAGACCTTTCTTGCAAAAAGAGAAGATGGCATCTATAATGAAATAATTTGGAATAACAAAAATATCTTAATCAATCGAAAAAGCATTATTGATGCGAAATGGAAAGATGCGGGCATTATTTATATAAGGCAATTACTTAAAAAGAATGGGCATTTCTTTCAACGCGAAACAATTGCTAGGAAATATGGAATTGACATAACACCAAGACAATATAGTAGGTATATCAATGCTATTAGGAAGGCAATAGAGCAGAACATGTTTAGTTTCCAAAACGCGGGTCCTATAGAAATTGAACCACATCCTGGAGTTAAAGGAATCAGACTTGCTGACACACCTTGTAAAAGTCAATTTTGGTATAATACAATCTATAATGTGTTCCAAGTTGCTAATAAAGATGTTTTTAAATGGAAAATTTTAAAGGACATGAGAATTGGAACCAAGTATAAGCAACTGCAATTCAAAATTCTACACTCAATCATTCCTTGTATTGAATTGTATGGTATAGAAGGAGGCACAGAGGAGTTTGATGAATTATTTACTACTGCTAGCAAAGTATATTGTGTACAGATGTAAAGTAACTGAAACCGACTGCCTTTTAGAATATTTAAAAGAGAACTAGAAATACAATACAAAGTACGACAGTATCACAATGTTAATCTTGCAGAAAAATTTAAATGTGTACTGAATAATTAGATGAGTATTATTGCTTTAAGCCACTCAAACCTAATATAAACCCTGGTATGCCAATCCACGTGGCAATGTACAGGGCCATGTAAAATCGTGGACAATTAACATGAATAAATGATGTAAAAAAACAAAAAAAATACATTATTAATATCATATAATGGTAATAGTAGACGCCGTCACAGAACTGGAACTGAGCCGTGAATAGAAAATCTTCATTTAAAGCTTAATTAATACTGCACATAATTGTTGTAGAGGATGACTGTTCATTCAAAACAGCACACGCAGTTGACCTATTGTGCGATTATACCTGGGAGTACTGTAGCTCACCTTGCACGATATAAACCTATAGCATAGAGAAATCTGTTGTACATGTTGTAGGTGAGTAGTTTGGGTTTAATAATTTCATATAATGTATTTGTAATGTAGGTCTTAGACATGTACCACTTGGTGTAATCCTCGATCCTGCTCTCACACCAAGAATCACAACCAAGCCATACCATATGGGAGGTAAGGGTGGCCCAGTCGTCTAAGGCGCCGCGATTCGCTGTGCGGAGTTGGCACGGCAGAAACCTATAATGGTGGGTTCGAACCCCGGTTCGCCCGGAATCATACCCGTGGGTTTCACCGAAGTGGTAAACGTCTGAGACCTGCATCACTTCGGGCTTTCCTCCCACATTTAGCTGTCACGCCGTGATATACCTGGAATTATGTCTCTACACTCAACATACCATATGATTGGGTGTCGTGTGGTGTGTGGGGGTGTCAAAGGGCGTTGGTGGCCAAATGGTTTATGACGCCAGAACTAACAACTTAAGGCAATCGGGATATCTGTCTTCTCCTCTCACGTCACAACTGACCGTCACGTACACACGTATCCGGGAGGCACGGGTGGCCCAGTCGTCTAAGGCGCCGCGATTCGCTGTGGAGAGTTGCGTCCCTTGGGCACGCCAGAAACCTATGATTGTGGGTTCGAATCCCGGTTCGCCCCAATTATGTTTCTAGGTTTGTCAGCACCATACCCGTGCTCGTGGGTTTCACCGAAGTGGTAAACGTCTTAGACCTGAGTCACTTCGGGCTTTCCTCCCACATTAAGCTGACACGCCGTGATATGACTGGAATAACGCGGCGTTAAACCAAACTCACTCACTCACTACACACGTATCTTTGTGGTGTGTGTTATTCTGATGCACATACATGTTAGTACTGACTTTGAACGACCATGGACCAGTTGACCCCGACCAAGCCCCCTTTTACCATGTTTCATATATGTAAGAAACACTACAATTTGGATAAAGATTGAGTGAGTGTGTTTGGTTTAACGCCGCCTTGAACAGTGAATCAAATAAACATTTGCCTTTTGTATTTCTGGTTGATCGTCACACTAACACGAGCGCAACATAAAAACACAGCAATAAATAGTTGCCTCAACAGTTGCCATTGTTTAATACATTCATTGTTTACTTTATGCGAATCATGCGAATAGAAAACTGCCTAGCATTATTTGCTAAACACAATAATCCAGTTTAATTAAATGTGCATGATCTATCGATTATCGCTGTTAAATTAACAGTTTCTGACCAGGTGCGCTAAAAAGAAGTGATGTTTCAAGCGTAATGTTCCATTATCATACAAGCATAAAAGCCTCATCATTTTCAGGTTTTTATTGCTGTGTGGTCCTGCGCCATCAGTGTTTGTAGGTTGTTGGAAGACACGACATTAAGCAAGGTACGTATATAGAGGATTATTTTTTATCTGATTAATTAAAAATAATCACTTAGTAATAATGAAGGCTTACCTGTTGTCAGCGATTCCATCATACAATTGTATGTATGGAGATAGGTACGATGTATGTAAACGTGCTATGAAAAGGAGGATGGTATTGATTCTGAACTACATGATGCAAAATTTCAGACTAACCATGCAGAATTATTGCAATTCCCAAGAGAAAAAATACCTCAAGTCACATCATTTTCCAGTGAAGTTGTAATCAGTCAAGTATTTTTCTGCAAACCCATATCCATGATATCTATGTATATGCTGCCATATAACCATATATTTAATGTTATTGTTATTGCAACCATATAACTATTTATCCATACATAGAATGATGTGTGGATATCCCTGCAGATAACAATCAGGAGAGCAGTTCAGTGATTATTTTACATATGTGTGCGACAGAACACTAGTGAATTTCACCTCTTTATTCATATATGCTGATGTGCGTCGGCTATGACTACGATGAAGTTGAGTGTGTGAGTTGGGTTTAACGCCGCTTTTAACAGTATTCCAGTTATATCACGGCGTGTCAGCTTAATGTGGGAGGAAAGCCCGAAGTGATGCAGGTCTCCGACGTTTACCACTTCTGTGAAACCCACGAGCAGAGTATGGTGCTGACAAACTTAGAAACATATTCGGGGCGAACCGAGATTGGAACCCACAATCGGATATTTACAGAACGTCGTCATATAGCTGGAATATTGCTGAGTGCGGCGTTAAACAACAAACCAAACCAAACCAACAATTATGTGCCGATGTGTGCTTACTTACTCATGACATATTCCTCAAAAACACTAAAATGTACGAAGTGTGAAACCACCAAAACACCTTTTACAAATATGCAATTCAAAATAGTTTGGAACACTATTCTAAAAGCATTGTGTGAAATTGCTATTGTAAAACAAACGCCAGAAAGCTCAGCCTGCAAACAACGAGGCGTTTCAAGTCCCCAAACTAACAAGGCTTTTTTTCCGTTAAAGATAAGCATCATTTATGTCAATCAACTGATCATCCTTAAAGTCTTTACATCGTAACAAGATATTACGAATGCTCTTAAAAACAAACATCCGGCTAGTTATCAAAAATGGCTTGTAGCCACTGTTCGCGATGCGTCCTCAAATGTTTTATTATGGGTGTTGTTCCTGCCACAGTCCGCACCATTACAGCGGAATGTCATGTCCAACTGACCCGTGAACATCCGGGTTAGAACAGGTCTTCAGCAAACAATGCTTGCCGTAACAGGCGACTATGATTGCCACAAAAGGCGGCTATGGTAGCTGAAACAGGCGATTATGCTTGTTGTACGAGGCGACTAACGGGATCGGGTGGTCAGGCTCGCTGACCTGGTTGATGCATGTCATTGTATCGCAAGTGCGTAGATCGATGGTCGTGATATCAATCACTTGATTGTCTGGTCCATACTCAATTATTTACAGACCACTGTCATATAAACAACAAACAAACAAACAAATCATGCCCAAGTATACTAGTAGCTGAATAAGAGCAGACTTTATCTTTGATTTATGTTGTCACACCAGCAGAAAGGTCACTGACCTCTAGACCACCTGTGATTTTGTGTGAACATTACAATCGCACCGTTTGAATTCCAAGGCAGAATTGAACAACAGTGATTCTGTATAACTTCATCTTGTTAATAATCCATGAAGATTTATGAATTTGTTTCTAGGCGCAGTGTACGATATTAAGCAAACAATCGCTGCTCAACCATTCGAACACTGGTTTAACTTTCCTAAACTCGTACATGACCTAGTCGAGATAATGTTGACAGCGTCGTAAAACAGCATTCTCTTCTCTTCATTCCGCAAACTTTTGGTGTTGTATCAGTTTTATATAAGACAGTCCACGCAGGAAGATGGACGTTGAACAACAGGCTGTTGAAGGAAATGGTCTTCTTGGTATGAACACGGTGCGGGAGAGTACAGGGGATTCTACAAAGAAGGTGCCAACTAGCACGGAGACGGAAATTGGCAAGATGAAAACACGGCACGCCAAAAGGATGATCTTCAGTGTCAGTGACGTTCCGCCCATCCCTGCTACGCTGACACTGGCCTTCCAGGTACGCTATTACCTATTAATAATATAATTATAAATAATCAAGTCTGGACCAGACATCATGAGCATCGATCTACGCCATTGGGAACGAAGGCGTGCATCAGCGATGTCAGCAAGCCTGATCATGGCTACCCGACTATGCTCGTCGCCTCTTACGACAAGCATAGTCGCCTGCTATGGCAAGCGCGGGTTGCTGAAGACCTATTCTAACCCGGATCTTCACGGGTATAATGTGTTATTGAATAATGGGGAAAGACACCCTTCGGCGGTATCTAAAGGGCGAAAAAAACCAGTTGAGATAAGATGGTATGTCCAATTCAATGGAAGGTTCTCCTCGATTCACATGCCGATTCAGGAAATATCAAAGACACTAAGATATTGGCGTCTACTCCCAATTGAGAAGCCCGAGGGTATTCCAGGTAAATATAGAACCCCAAAAGGTTTCTCTGGTCGTAAGAGGCGACAGGTGGTCGGGCTCGGTGACTCGGTTGATTGTGTGTCATCGTGTCATCGGATTGTCTTGTCCAGACTCGATTTTTACAGATCGCTGCCATACAGCTTGAATAGTGATGATCGCGGCGTTAAAGAAAAAACCCAAACAAATCAACAAGTATTTCAGAAAGTAGGTTCTCTCATCTGTTCCCAACATCGTTAAACCTCTCACGCTCAAATCAAGACCCGTGAAGGTCCGGCGTAGAAGAGGTCTTCAGCAACCCATACTTGCCGTAAAAGGCGACTATGCTTGTCGTAAGAGGCGACTAACGGGATCGGGTGGTCTGGCTCGCTGACTTGGCTCATGCATGTCATAGATCCCAATCTCTGGTCCAGATTCGATTATTTACTGACCGCCATATTGCTGAGTGCAGCGTTAAACAACAAACAAACAAATCAATCTCGACTGACCTTCGTTGTCCAATAGAATTCTCCAATTACACTAGTTTCACTAGTTCACATCACATCGGGCACCACAATCAGTCGACAGTCGCCTTTATATCAATGTTCCTCCATAACAAATTGAATACGTAATTTCTTTTGATCATAATCACTTTTGTTGCACGGACTATATACCGAGAGATCGGTTGATATAAGGTTTTCATTGACATCATGCCCTTTCACTCTTTCACTGATATTTAGCTAACGTAATATGATGAATGGATCCGAAAGCAAAATGTACACACAGATTATTCCCATACTTAATTGATAACCCGGAGACTCGAGGTCTCGTGGTAGAGCGTCCGCCCCGAGAGCAAAAGGTCCGGGATTCGATCCCCGGTCGCGTCATACCAAAAGACGTTTCGGCTTGCAGTCAATATGCTGTCGGAGTCGGGTATTCATATTCAACTGTGGCATGTGCATGAACGTCGCTATATAAGTGCAATAATCTTGAACGTGACGTTAAATCCCATTTCACCTCACCTAATTACCCGGACAGCCATGGAGAAGTGATGTTCACAAAAGTTTGCGCAACAGAAATCACGTACAGTTTGAATTAAAGACGCAAAGCAAACGGAAGCCAATTGAACGATTCGCAAGGTTGTGTTTTATCATGTGATAGTCATGTGCACGATAGTGAATCAAATACGGACCTCATACATACTGGCCAGGTTCTATTGGACTGAAATGATCCTCCTTGCGTACTGTTGTCCACCATGTCTCTCTCAACAGCATGTCCTCCCTGCGTACTGTTGTCCACCATGCCTCTCTCAACAGCATGTCCTCCCTGCGTGCTGTTGTCCACCATGCCTCTCTCTACAGCATGTCCTCCCTGCGTACTGTTGTCCACCATGTCTTTCTCTACAGCATGCCCTCCTTGCGTACTGTTGTCAACCATGTCTCTCTCAACAGCATGTCCTCCCTGCGTACTGTTGTCCACCATGCCTCTCTCTACAGCATGTCCTCCCTGCGTACTGTTGTCCACCCTGTCTCTCTCTACAGCATGCCCTCCTTGCGTACTGTTGTCCACCATGCCTCTCTCTACAGCATGCCCTCCTTGCGTACTGTTGTCCACCATGCCTCTCTCTACAGCATGTCCTCCCTGCGTACTGTTGTCCACCATGCCTCTCTCTACAGCATGTCCTCCCTGCATACTGTTGTCCACCATGTCTCTCTCTACAGCATGTCCTCCCTGCGTACTGTTGTCCACCATGCCTCTCTCTACAGCATGTCCTCCCTGCATACTGTTGTCCACCATGTCTCTCTCTACAGCATGTCCTCCCTGCGTACTGTTGTCCACCATGTCATTCTCTACAGCATGTCCTCCCTGTGTACTGCTGTCCACCAAGTCTCTCTCTATAGAATGTCCTCCCTGCGTACTGCTGTCCACCAAGTCTCTCTCTACAGCATGTCCATCCTGCGTACTGTTGTCCACCATGTCTCTCTCCACAGCATGTCCTTCAGTCCATGGCAAAACTGTTATCGGGAGCCATTATATTCTCGGACCTCGTATGTGCCTCAGATCAAGAGGACATCAAGACGAAGATTCTGTCCTCAACCATGTTATCGACAGGGCTGGCTACATTCTTCGTGACGACAGTTGGTTGCAGGTGCTGCTAATTCTTAGACGGGGTAGCGTGAGTTTGGGCTGACGCCACTTTGAACAATGTTCCAGTTATATCACGGTGTTACAAAGTTGTGTCTGTTAAATTTAATATTTCGCTGTTGTAAGCATTTGGAGAATAATGTGATGAAACGTCATTCGAAAAGGGTTAGAGTGAGTTGGGCCTAACACCGCTTTTAACAGTATTCCAGTTATATCACGGTTTGTCAGCTTAAAGTGGGAGGAAAGCCCCAAGTGATGCAGGTCTGGCGTTTACCACTTTGGTGAAACCCACGAGCACGGGTATGCTGCTGACAGACATAGAAACATAATCGGGGCGAATATGGATTCGAGCCAACGATCATAGGTTTCTGGCGTACCCAAGGGGCGCAACCCTGCACAGCGATGTGCGGCGCATTAAACGACTGGGCCACCCGTGCGCCCGAGTAGCAAGAGACCCGGCCTTTAATCATTACAAGTCTACGAGTAACTCATCTTTTACAGCATAGGTGTCGAAACAGGTTTAACTTAACGACCTCTGGAATCATTTAAGAGTATTTTCTTCGGTTTGAACATATAGAATCTCATCCGAGTCTTTTGATATCAAATAGATAAATCAGCACGAGTCGATTAAGTAACAAAGCTCCGAGGAAGAAATGATTTATTTATATTTTCATACGTTGACATCGTTAGTTTGCTCCAAGATGAAGGTGGTGGCGTACATCTAAATGCGGCGTCAAACAACTATTTCACAATAATGGTCGAACTCTATACAATAGATATATGTTTTAGTGGTGTAGTTGCAAGCGACTAACTTTTTTTTCTTTTGTTTATACAAAAAAGGTTACCAATATTTCAAGGTCCATCCTTTACGTATATCATACCTTTGGTCACCATGGCAACTATGTCTGAGTGGAAGTGCCCAAGTCAAGAAGACCTTAGTGAGTATATAATGCTTTACGTGTATTCCGCGTTTAGCCTGATGACATTCTATGAAAAATAATAATCTCATTCCAGATGTACATGTATGTGATAGTTATTTAAGGATGTGCGTTGCTTTGTCTTTCTTTGCAACTTGTAGCTAAGACATATGTACGGCAAAACCATGCAGTGTCCATTCATACGATACTGAGCAAGTGTTTATTAATAAACATACGTCTTTGAAAAGTAAACTAACAACAATTATACAACAAGGTGAATGCATTGTGTATCTTAAATGCCTACACTCCTGAGTTAATGGCCCTTACCAGCTAGGTCACCTTACCTGCCGGGCAAAAGAAAGTATACGTGTGAAAGTTAGATTTGAACAAACAAATGCACTAGGCTGAAAACAATCGCCGAAAGCCATTCGCCCCTCAGTGTGGATCAATATTATGAGCAGAAACTGCTTCTTAACGATCAGGTATGTCTGTATTCAAGGAGGGAGCATCAACGCCAATACGTACCTGCTTCTAAACGATCAGGTATGTCTTTGTTCAAGGGAGCATCTACGCTAATACATTACTATTTCTTAATACAGAAGTGCTTCTTAACGATCAGGTACTCGTATGTCTGTATTCAAAGGAGCATCTACGCCAATACATAAGTGCTTCTTAACGATCAGGTATGTCTGTATTCAAGGAGGCATCTACGCCAATACATAACTGCTTCTTAACGATCAGGTATGTCTGTATTCAAGGGGGCATCTACGCCAATACATAACTGCTTCTTAACTATCAGGTATGTCTGTATTCAAGGGGGCATCTACGCCATTACATTACTGCTTCTTAACGATCAGGTATGTCTGTATTCAAGGGAGCATCTACGGCAATACATAAGTGCTTCTTAACGATCAGGTATGTATATATACAAGGGGGCATCTACGCCATTACATAAGTGCTTCTTAACGATCAGGTATGTCTGTATTTAAGGGAGCATCTACGCCAATACATAAGTGCTTCTTAACCAGCAGGTATGTCTGTATTCAAGGGAGCATCTACGCCAATACATAACTGCTTCTTAACGATCAGGTATGTCTGTATTCAAGGGGGCATCTACGCGAATACATAACTGCTTCTTAACGATCAGGTATGTCTGTATTCAAGGGGGCATCTACGCCATTACATAAGTGCTTCTTAACGATCAGGTATGTCTGTATTCAAGGGAGCATCTACGCCAATACATAACTGCTCCTTAACGATCAGGTATGTCTGTATTCAAGGGGGCATCTACGCGAATACATAACTGCTTCTCGATCTGGTATGTCTATTCAAGGGAGCATCTACGCCAATGCATAACTGCTTCTTAACGATCAGGTATGTCTGTATTCAAGGGGGCATCTACGCAAATACATAACTGCTTCTTAATCTGGTATGTCTATTCAAGGGGGCATCTACGCCAATACATAAGTGCTTCTTAACGATCAGGTAGTCTGAATTCAAGGGAGCATCTACGCCAATACATAACTGCTTCTTAACGATCAGGTATGTCTGTATTCAAGGGGGCATCTACGCCAATACATAACTGCTTCTTAACGATCAGGTATGCCTGTATTCAAGGGGGGCATCTACGCCAATACATAACTGCTTCTTAACGATCAGGTATGTCTGTATACAAGTAGGCATTTACGCCAATACTTAACTGCTTCTTTACGATCAGGTTTGTCTGTATTCAAGGGGGCATCCACGCCAATACATAAGTGCTTCTTTACGATCAGGTATGTCTGTATTCAAGGGGGCATCCACGCCAATACATAAGTGCTGCTTAACGATCAGGTATGTCTGTATTCAAGGAGGGAGCATCAACGCCAATACGTACCTGCTTCTAAACGATCAGGTATGTCTGTATTCAAGGGAGCATCTTTGCCAATACATAACTGCTTCTTAACGATCAGGTATGTCTGTATTCAAGGGAGCATCTACGCCAATACATAACTGCTTCTTAACGATCAGGTATGTCTGTATTCAAGGGAGCATCTACGCCAATACATAACTGCTTCTTAACGATCAGGTATGTATATTAGAAAGGGGGCATCTACGCCAATACGCACCTGCTTCTTAACGATAAGGTATATATGTCTGTATTCAAGGGAGCATCTACGCCAATGCATAACTGCTTCTTAACGATCAGGTATGTATATTTTCAAGAGGGCATCTACGGCAATACATAAGTGCTTCTTAACGATCAGGTATGTATATATTCAAGGGGTCATCTACGCCAATACATAAGTGCTTCTTAACTATCAGGTATGTATATATTCAAGGGGGCATCTACGCCAATACATCACTGCTTCTTAACGATCAGGTATGTCTGTATTCAAGGGAGCATCTACGCCAATACATAACTGCTCCTTAACGATCAGGTATGTATATATTCAAGGGGTCATCTACGCCAATACATAACTGCTTCTTAACGATCAGGTATGTCTGTATTCAAGGGGGCATCTACGCCAATACATCACTGCTTCTTAACGATCAGGTATGTCTGTATTCAAGGGGGCATCTACGCCAATACATCACTGCTTCTTAACGATCAGGTATGTCTGTATTCAAGGGGGCATCTATGCCAATACATCAACGAACTACACTCTCAACCATCGCGGGATGATCCCTGTTCCTGATGACGTCATCCTGTCCCGAATACACACGGTAATTTGAATGAAACTTGTGTGGGTGGTGGGTGTTACCTGTAAATATAAACATCAGAGTCAGAGAATAACTAGTCTTAATTATACTCTGATTTCTTTGGCGTAAAAGGCAAAATAGAGGTGAATATTACATATTTGGATCACTGAAAATCCGCAAAGCAGGACAGGCTTAATTAGCTTTTCCGTGAACACCGTGTGTCCTCAATCATTTTCGGTGATTTATTTACAGAATTGTTATTATTGTTTGGCCTTTTACGCCATTGAAAACTATATCAGCAGGCATTCGAGATTTTATTATTTCTCGCGTTGATGTTTTGAATTGATGGAAAAAAAACATTAAGGATAAAGCACCAGGTATATCAGGTTAATTCCTACAAATATACCAATCCGCGGGTCTGATCAAGGTAGTTAAAAGCAATACTTCCCCAAACCGGAAGTGACATGAATAAACCGGAAATACATATTGATCACTGCTGCAACTGGTTAATGGCATTGGTGAGTCGTTGAGCGAGAGTGAGTTCAACGCCGCTTTGAACTGTATTTCAGTTATACCATGACATAAAGTGATGCAGGTGTTAGACCATTTACCACTTTGCAGACACCCACAAGCACGGTATGATACTTACAAACCCAGAAACATAATCAGGGGAATCTGGGATTCGAACCCACGAACATAGTTCTGGCACGCCTGAGTCTGAGGCGCACACGGCGAATTGTGGCGCATTAGACGATGTTTGACGTTAATATATTGGTGCTGGAAAAATCAGTAATTGGGGTTGCTATTGTGTTTCGAATTTACTACTTTTCTGGTTGCAATATGTTTCAGGTAATGGGCAGTCTGATGCTAGCTGAAGTTATTCACGCACTAATTGGAGCTACGGGATGTGCTGGTTTTCTGTTACGTTTCATAGGACCCGTGACAATCGTTCCCGCTATCTCATTGGCAGCGTTGTTTTTGTTTAAAGTGTCTCTGAAGTATTCACAAATGCATTGGGGAGTTGCATTTTTGTAAGTTATTTTGGTGATTTCCAAAAAATTGCTAGTTATCATTAGTGGTGTAACGATACGGGAGGGTCGCGATACGATACGTATCGCGATACAGGGGTCGCGATACGATACGTATCACGATACAGTGTTTACTGGTACAAGCTAAGCCAAGTTGATGTCTTTCTGCTCTCTAAAAGATGTGACAAGTACAGTTGAAGAAGATTTAATGTGTTTATTTACTGTTATAGCAAATTGTCAGCAAAACAGTATCTTTTACTGAAACAACAAACTGGCTTTGAAACTGTTAAACGTATTTCATGTATTTTCTTGAGTATAGTGCGCACCAATGTATAATGCACACACCCCTACAAGCGGGTTCAATATTTTGGAAAAAAAAAAATGAATATTATGCGCAGAAGAAAATTACACTGTACTCCTTCAGCGAAGTCCGGCAAACGAACGGGTGATGAGAAACTTCGTCAGTACAAATTCGAAATTTGAGATAAAAAATCATCAGACACGTTGATTTACCGTTTAAATTGTATTTTTTGTTCAGCTAGGCATTGTTTTATATCCAGGGATTAAGATTACCTTGTGTATTTTCTCGCAAACTAAGCCGGACACAGCAATCAGCTGTACACACGTTTTCTTTGAATCTACCGGTGATTCGGTCAAGACACACCCAATGATATCACTTTACAGGATTTTTATGCAAGGATCGGCAAAAGTTGTATCTGAAACTATTTTTTTTATCAGGAATAATATATTCCAATATCTTGTTAACTTAGATGAAGCTTTTACTGAACATATTTAAAATAATAATAACCCTAAGCGAAGCAGCTAATCGCTATTGCCGGGTATTATTTTTTACATGCAACTAGTCTGACCAGTCACCGTCAAGGCTCCCGTGCACGTGATCGCTTCATCGCGAGAATTAAGTGTTGACATAGAATCGTCCAACAAAAACAAATATGACTTTTAACGAATCAAAGTATGGCATTTAGGATATATGTATCCATATCTGTCAACTAAAGTTCGTTTCAAGGCGTCAATGGCGGTAATCTGACTGTGGTTATTGTTAATAACGGTGAGTTGTGCGATCTTCCGATCGCTTCACACACGATTTCGCCGAAATTAATTAAAACAATATTAAAAGGAATTTTGAATAAAATTAATGAAATAAGTTACAAACAAAAGTCCAGATATACAAAGAACACTTTTTATAGCCAGACAGTGTAATTACGTGAATAATTTGCGAACTTCAGTATGGATTTGTTGACATGGTATTTCCGGTGTTACGTGCTCACGGTAATGTCTTTCCATGGGGGAAAAAACATCAAAACTCATTAATTCGTGTATAATGCGCACCCCCTTCTACACAGCTGTGTTTTTGGGAAAAAAGTGCGAACTATACTCAAGAAAATACGGTAAGTAAAACTGTGTTATGAAAATATCGTATGTATCGCGATACATGCTTTCCAAATCGATGCATCGTATCGTGGGCTGTGCATCGGGATACAATACTGTATCGCCGTATCGTTACACCACTAGTTATCATGTTATGATGTCCTTTGCCCGTGCCATTACACCCCTACAATTTATATATACAGGACAATGTTGTCTTATATACATATTGCTTATGTTGTTGATATCTGTTGTGATAAACATTGTTGACGATTAAGATGTGTGGTTATCCTATAAAGTAACTATGTTATAAGCTATCTATTTATTGTTCCAGTGTTAATTTTCCATTTACGAATACCTGTTTTACTATAACCCGGTGGAGCAGGATACGCACATCTTCCCGAGAACACCTGGTATCATCGCTATCTGATAGTGATTTATGAACAGGTGGTCATGATATAGTCGGAATCGTACTCTGCTTTTAGCAGTAATTGTTTTTTCTGCTTTTTTTCACAGAACTATGGCGATTGGCGTTACACTGTCTCTCTACCTCAGACATGTGACGATCCCATGTCCGTTTTGGACTCCAAACCGAGGCTTCCATATTATTAGGTCCAAGTTCCACACTGTCTATGCTGTGAGTAAAAACGAACATTGAATTTAAAAAGCATGCGAGTCCATATTGTCTGAGGCACATTTTTTCCATGTGAACAACATTATTATATATTTTTTTAATTTATATGGCTTTTCAATTGGACGAGAGGTCGGTCACCTGGCAGCGAAATTAACGTTCATAAGTGCATGAACGACACCATTTGACGTTCGTACGTTTTTCACGAGCCTGTGTTCTTGAAATGACGTAAACACTGACGGACTACTTCCACATTCCCGGGAATTCCCTAGCACGAATACATACAGAAGCGTTCTTGTTGATCATTTGGATCCTTTAATCTTGAACTCAGCGTTTCAGTATACAGAGTGTTTGACTGCACGATCGTTCACGAATATCCTCGCTACGACCCATCTTAGTGAAAAAAACCCCGAAGAAATGCACATCCAAACTATCGTAGTATCGACTTGTCTTGGCTGACAGTGACTGTCTACAGCAATCTATGAGTTCACCTTAGTGTCTACTTGACATATCTTTAATCACCTTTCAATGATCGTCCAAGTCATCAATGATGACTAAAACATTCAAGCTCCGATGTTCATACAGTTTGACCCTCACTCTTTGAAGGTTCATTCTCAAATGAACCCACACAAAGTGAAAGTCAATTCTTAATTGTACTCTACGCGAGAAAATGGCGTTGTAAATAGGTCTATATTGGTTTAAGTAGAATTCAACTAGGCCTCACACCTGGACAATTTAACATCTCTTAATAGTTATGAACGACGTAGTTCATGTTCGCAAACACCTGGTGTTATCCCTATTTGACAGAGATTCATAAACACATGCTAATTATATAGTCGGAATTGTACAACGGCCTCTGCTTTAATCAGAGGTTTCTTATGAATATGGAAAGAATTTGTCTCTTTTATTTATTTGAGATTTTATTGGACAGTACAGGTATCTCCTTTCGTAGGTCCTAATATCCATCTTAATTGGATGGGGTACATCAGCCATCTTGACCTTGAGTGGTGCTTTGTCATCGGAACCTGAAAGTCCCCAGTACTACGCTCGCACAGACTCACGGACATACGTCATCAGAGACAGTGGATGGTTTTATGTTCCTTATCCTGGTGAGTTCAGAACGATTCATTTCGATTATGAAATAAGGATCCTTGGTTTGTCAGCGCCATAAGTCAGTCCTCGTGGGTTTGAAGTGGTAGCAATACAACAAGCCCCATGTTAGTCCTCGTTGGTTTCTAGTGGTAGCAAAACGATCTGCGAAATGTTAGTCCTCGTTGGTTTCTAGTGGTAGCAAAACGATCAGCGCCATGCCATTCCTCGTTGGTTTCAAGAAGTAACAAAACGACCAGCGCCATGTCATTCCTCGTTGGTTTCTAGTGGTAACAAAAACGACCAGCGCCATGTCATTCCTCGTTGGTTACAAGAAGTAACAAAACGACCAGCGCCATGTTAGTCCTCGTTGGTTTCAAGACGTAACAAAACGACCAGCGCCATGTCATTCCTCGTTGGTTTCAAGACGTAACAAAACGACCAGCGCCATGTTAGTCCTCGTTAGTTTCAAGACGTAACAAAACGACCAGCGCCATGTCATTCCTCGTTGGTTTCAAGACGTAACAAAACGACCAGCGCCATGTCATTCCTCGTTGGTTTCAAGACGTAACAAAACGACCAGCGCCATGTTAGTCCTCGTTGGTTTCAAGACGTAACAAAACGACCAGCGCCATGTCATTCCTCGTTGGTTTCAAGAAGTAACAAAACGACCAGCGCAATGTTAGTGCTCGTTGGTTTCAAGACGTAACAAAACGACCAGCGCCATGTCATTCCTCGTTAGTTTCTAGTGGTAACAAAAACGACCAGCGCCATTTCATTCCTCGTTGGTTACAAGAAGTAACAAAACGACCAGCGCCATGTCATTATTGTTGGTTTCTAGTGGTAACAAAAACGACCAGCGCCATTTCATTCCTCGTTGGTTACAAGAAGTAACAAAACGACCAGCGCCATTTCATTCCTCGTTGGTTACAAGAAGTAACAAAACGACCAGCGCCATGTTAGTCCTCGTTGGTTTCAAGACGTAACAAAACGACCAGCGCCATGTCATTCCTCGTTGGTTTCAAGACGTAACAAAACGACCAGCGCCATGTTAGTCCTCGTTGGTTTCAAGACGTAACAAAACGACCAGCGCCATGTCATTCCTCGTTGGTTTCAAGACGTAACAAAACGACCAACGCCATGTCATTCCTCGTTGGTTTCTAGTGGTAACAAAAACGACCAGCGCCATTTCATTCCTCGTTGGTTACAAGAAGTAACAAAACGACCAGCGCCATGTCATTATTGTTGGTTTCTAGTGGTAACAAAAACGACCAGCGCCATTTCATTCCTCGTTGGTTACAAGAAGTAACAAAACGACCAGCGCCATGTCATTCCTCGTTGGTTACAAGAAGTAACAAAACGACCAGCGCCATGTTAGTCCTCGTTGGTTTCAAGACATAACAAAACGACCAGCGCCATGTCATTCCTCGTTGGTTTCAAGACGTAACAAAACGACCAGCGCCATGTTAGTCCTCGTTGGTTTCAAGACGTAACAAAACGACCAGCGCCATGTCATTCCTCGTTGGTTTCAAGACGTAACAAAACGACCAGCGCCATGTCATTCCTCGTTGGTTTCAAGACGTAACAAAACGACCAGCGCCATGTTAGTCCTCGTTGGTTTCAAGACGTAACAAAACGACCAGCGCCATGTTAGTCCTCGTTGGTTACAAGAAGTAACAAAACGACCAGCGCCATGTCATTCCTTGTTGGTTTCAAGACGTAACAAAACGACCAGCGCCATGTTAGTCCTCGTTAGTTTCAAGACGTAACAAAACGACCAGCGCCATTTCATTCCTCGTTGGTTTCAAGACGTAACAAAACGACCAGCGCCATGTCATTCCTCGTTGGTTTCAAGACGTAACAAAACGACCAGCGCCATGTTAGTCCTCGTTGGTTTCAAGACGTAACAAAACGACCAGCGCCATGTTAGTCCTCGTTGGTTACAAGAAGTAACAAAACGACCAGCGCCACGTCATTCCTCGTTGGTTTCAAGACGTAACAAAACGACCAGCGCCATGTTAGTCCTCGTTGGTTTCAAGACGTAACAAAACGACCAGCGCCATGTCATTCCTCGTTGGTTTCAAGACGTAACAAAACGACCAGCGCAATGTTAGTGCTCGTTGGTTTCAAGACGTAACAAAACGACCAGCGCCATGTCATTCCTCGTTAGTTTCTAGTGGTAACAAAAACGACCAGCGCCATTTCATTCCTCGTTGGTTACAAGAAGTAACAAAACGACCAGCGCCATGTCATTATTGTTGGTTTCTAGTGGTAACAAAAACGACCAGCGCCATTTCATTCCTCGTTGGTTACAAGAAGTAACAAAACGACCAGCGCCATGTTAGTCCTCGTTGGTTTCAAGACGTAACAAAACGACCAGCGCCATGTCATTCCTCGTTGGTTTCAAGACGTAACAAAACGACCAGCGCCATGTTAGTCCTCGTTGGTTTCAAGACGTAACAAAACGACCAGCGCCATGTCATTCCTCGTTGGTTTCAAGACGTAACAAAACGACCAACGCCATGTCATTCCTCGTTGGTTTCTAGTGGTAACAAAAACGACCAGCGCCATTTCATTCCTCGTTGGTTACAAGAAGTAACAAAACGACCAGCGCCATGTCATTATTGTTGGTTTCTAGTGGTAACAAAAACGACCAGCGCCATTTCATTCCTCGTTGGTTACAAGAAGTAACAAAACGACCAGCGCCATGTCATTCCTCGTTGGTTACAAGAAGTAACAAAACGACCAGCGCCATGTTAGTCCTCGTTGGTTTCAAGACATAACAAAACGACCAGCGCCATGTCATTCCTCGTTGGTTTCAAGACGTAACAAAACGACCAGCGCCATGTTAGTCCTCGTTGGTTTCAAGACGTAACAAAACGACCAGCGCCATGTCATTCCTCGTTGGTTTCAAGACGTAACAAAACGACCAGCGCCATGTCATTCCTCGTTGGTTTCAAGACGTAACAAAACGACCAGCGCCATGTTAGTCCTCGTTGGTTTCAAGACGTAACAAAACGACCAGCGCCATGTTAGTCCTCGTTGGTTACAAGAAGTAACAAAACGACCAGCGCCATGTCATTCCTTGTTGGTTTCAAGACGTAACAAAACGACCAGCGCCATGTTAGTCCTCGTTAGTTTCAAGACGTAACAAAACGACCAGCGCCATGTCATTCCTCGTTGGTTTCAAGACGTAACAAAACGACCAGCGCCATGTCATTCCTCGTTGGTTTCAAGACGTAACAAAACGACCAGCGCCATGTTAGTCCTCGTTGGTTTCAAGACGTAACAAAACGACCAGCGCCATGTTAGTCCTCGTTGGTTACAAGAAGTAACAAAACGACCAGCGCCACGTCATTCCTCGTTGGTTTCAAGACGTAACAAAACGACCAGCGCCATGTTAGTCCTCGTTGGTTTCAAGACGTAACAAAACGACCAGCGCCATGTCATTCCTCGTTGGTTTCAAGACGTAACAAAACGACCAGCGCAATGTTAGTGCTCGTTGGTTTCAAGACGTAACAAAACGACCAGCGCCATGTCATTCCTCGTTAGTTTCTAGTGGTAACAAAAACGACCAGCGCCATTTCATTCCTCGTTGGTTACAAGAAGTAACAAAACGACCAGCGCCATGTCATTATTGTTGGTTTCTAGTGGTAACAAAAACGACCAGCGCCATTTCATTCCTCGTTGGTTACAAGAAGTAACAAAACGACCAGCGCCATTTCATTCCTCGTTGGTTACAAGAAGTAACAAAACGACCAGCGCCATGTTAGTCCTCGTTGGTTTCAAGACGTAACAAAACGACCAGCGCCATGTCATTCCTCGTTGGTTTCAAGACGTAACAAAACGACCAGCGCCATGTTAGTCCTCGTTGGTTTCAAGACGTAACAAAACGACCAGCGCCATGTCATTCCTCGTTGGTTTCAAGACGTAACAAAACGACCAACGCCATGTCATTCCTCGTTAGTTTCTAGTGGTAACAAAAACGACCAGCGCCATTTCATTCCTCGTTGGTTACAAGAAGTAACAAAACGACCAGCGCCATGTCATTATTGTTGGTTTCTAGTGGTAACAAAAACGTTCAGCGCCATTTCATTCCTCGTTGGTTACAAGAAGTAACAAAACGACCAGCGCCATGTCATTCCTCGTTGGTTACAAGAAGTAACAAAACGACCAGCGCCATGTTAGTCCTCGTTGGTTTCAAGACGTAACAAAACGACCAGCGCCATGTCATTCCTCGTTGGTTTCAAGACGTAACAAAACGACCAACGCCATGTCATTCCTCGTTAGTTTCTAGTGGTAACAAAAACGACCAGCGCCATTTCATTCCTCGTTGGTTACAAGAAGTAACAAAACGACCAGCGCCATGTCATTATTGTTGGTTTCTAGTGGTAACAAAAACGTTCAGCGCCATTTCATTCCTCGTTGGTTACAAGAAGTAACAAAACGACCAGCGCCATGTTAGTCCTCGTTAGTTTCAAGACGTAACAAAACGACCAGCGCCATGTCATTCCTCGTTGGTTTCAAGACGTAACAAAACGACCAGCGCCATGTCATTCCTCGTTGGTTTCAAGACGTAACAAAACGACCAGCGCCATGTTAGTCCTCGTTGGTTTCAAGACGTAACAAAACGACCAGCGCCATGTTAGTCCTCGTTGGTTACAAGAAGTAACAAAACGACCAGCGCCACGTCATTCCTCGTTGGTTTCAAGACGTAACAAAACGACCAGCGCCATGTTAGTCCTCGTTGGTTTCAAGACGTAACAAAACGACCAGCGCCATGTCATTCCTCGTTGGTTTCAAGACGTAACAAAACGACCAGCGCAATGTTAGTGCTCGTTGGTTTCAAGACGTAACAAAACGACCAGCGCCATGTCATTCCTCGTTAGTTTCTAGTGGTAACAAAAACGACCAGCGCCATTTCATTCCTCGTTGGTTACAAGAAGTAACAAAACGACCAGCGCCATGTCATTATTGTTGGTTTCTAGTGGTAACAAAAACGACCAGCGCCATTTCATTC